TACTTCTAATGAAACTGTCCCATGTTCTTTCTAAAGAGATGGAGCCTAAGACTGTGCAGAAGGAGACCTTCCAGATGGGAGAAAGTGACAGAGTGCCAGTCTCAGGGGAAGAAGGAGAGGCAATACAAGGCACCAGGACACCTGCTCAGCTTCAGAAACGTCCTTTAAGTGAGTGCTCAGGAGATGCTGGTGTTCGAAAAGAGGAGTATTCCTGGTGTATCCCTTCAGTGCTCTCCATGGATGAACTGCAGCTCCCCAGCACACAGCCCTGGCCTGCAGCCTGAAGGCAGTGCTGGTGCAGCTGCTCACTGGCACACAAGCTCTTCTCCAGGAGAACCTTAAGGGATCCTTCTTGTCCTCTGGTCCTACAACACAGAGCCAGAGGCACTAGTCACTGAAAACAAAATCCCTTGTGCATCTGAAGCACCCTGAATCTGAGATTACCCATAGCGCAGAGCACAAATATTGTCTCTTGCATTGTCCTTTCTCCTGCTAGGGTCAGCTACTTTGGAAAAAGCCGAAACTGCTGGTTATCAGGGGCTGAGCAAGAACTATATCTTAGGAACTGCAGCAGCCTTGGCTGTGCTCCTGCTTGCCATAATGGTCTGTGCCACAGTCATGTCACGGCTGAGAGGGAGAGACACGTGAGTTGGCTTTTCCCAAGAGTTATTTATTGCTACCATTGGCAATGGAGTGTTTGCATAGTGCTGGAGTGCCAAGGCAGCTCCTGGGAGCACTCTGCCAAAACCTCCGTGATACGATCCTTTAACTGGGCTCTTAATTCGTATCCATGAGTAGACTCCTCTGAAATCTCTTGTACAGAAGGACCCAGGGAGACAGAGCAGCACAAGGACAAGCCCATAGAGATTCTTTCTGGGAAGAGTCTCTTTCTTTATCTCAATCCCTTTATCTCCATCTAGAGATAAAAGCAAAGCAGAGTCAGGAGAAGGAGCAGGAAGGGGCGAGAGAGAACAAGCAAACACAAAGTTCAACAACAGCTGCCGCCTGTCACCAGGGATCTTTGCGGCAGAGCTCGCCCAGCTATACAGGAACATGGGCACAGACCCCGCACCTCTGCCCGCTTGTCCCAGCTGCTCTCTGGCTGACAGGGCCTCTTCACGGGAGAACTGGGTTTCCCTGGACTCACTCCAGCCTACACCGTCTTGGTGTCCCTGCTACCAGTACCAGCAGGGGTACTTTACTTCAGAAGATAGTGTTTTGTTTAATGGATAATGTATAAACAAATATATTGTTGAAAGACAATGAGTTCTCACCTCTGTTGTCTGTTTGTGTTGTAACTGAATGCACAGAGCTGGAAGCAGGGCTGGATCTGTGAGAGGAGGTGGAAGGGACCTGCACTCCAGGGCAGAACACTTTTGTCCCAGTATCAGCCTGGTTTTCCAGCTGGGGCCTGTAAAGAACTGCTGAAAGGCAATGTATGTTTCACCATTGCTTCTTAAACTGATATAATGCAAAAAGCTTTGCCTTTGTTTAAACTGCGAATACAAGTTGAGACACATGCATATTCAGTCAAAAAGACAAAGAGCAAGCTTCAGAAATGGGGAAAGAGTCACCTTGGAGAGGGCTGTAACCCCCAGCTGTAGCCATTGGGAACATAAAATTTGGACGTGGGAAGAGGTGGTAAAAGAATTAATTATGGAAGAAAATACGGTCAAATACTCCCTAGCAATACTGATCCCAAATTAATTTGGCACACAGAATGCAGAACACCAATGCTCCCTATAAAACTCAGAAAACTAATGTTCACCCCTGGGCAAGGACATGTTCACACAAGTGAAGAACAGGAGAAAGAGAAATGGCTTTTGGGTTTGTGAAAAAAGAATCCCAAAAATCCTGATGGACAGCCAACCCACAGAAAAATTGGAGGTACTAGTTAAAGCATGGCTGGCAAAATAGGGATCAATAAAAGCTGTTGTCCCTGATACAGCCCCTCCCCTAGAAGAACCACAAAAGGGGGAGGTGGTGGGAAACGCTTTCATTTGTCCCCAGTGGGTAAGCTGGGGGATGGAGGGTGGCTTTCTATCAGATGGCTTAACAAAAATTCCAAAGGAGACTTATTAATAACCTTTCCTAGTGGTCTCTGCAAAGTCCCCATAACCTTTTTAAAAGACACTGGAGCTCAAATATCTGCCCTCAAGGTTGAAGATACCTCTTGGTGTGGAAACATTCCCTCATGTAAAAGTATATTTGTTGTGGATGCTTTTGGATACACTCAACCCCAAATGACAACAAGGATAAGATGCTGGTTGCCACGGCAGTAGAAAGTGATCAAAACCCTTATGACTTTGGGAAAATTTCCTAGAAATCTTTTGGGGCTGGACCTCCTAAAGGGAAGGTCTTGGACTGACAAAGAAGGAAAAACAGGGGCTTTCAGGAAGGAAACCCAGCATTTGCACCTGCTAGATGCTGCCCCTTGTGGAGGACAAAGAATCAGGTGGGGAAAGATTTCAAGCGTGGAGAACGATTTATAATGATTAAGAAGAATTTATTGCATGGACTTTTGAAGTTTCAACCGGATTTAAAAACTGTTAATATAACACCCCATTCAGGTGCATTGTTTGGGCATGTCCAGGCTTGCCCTGAGTTGTTTGCTCCCTGCTCCCCTGCTTCTCCCTCTGATTGGCTAAAATATGCTGCAGTGTGGAGTGAGCTCCCATTGGTCCTCAGTCTTCCCCAGCTCCTCCCAAATTCCTCCCTCTTCTCCCAAGTTCTCTACCTCATTTGTTCCCCTGGTTGTCTATCCCATGCTCCTCCCAGTTTTCCAGCTCCTTCTACCCAAACCCTATATAAACCCATGTTCACCGTGAATAAAGTGAGATAGCTTTGACCTTTTACATTGTGTTGTGATCCTTATTGCTGTCTCGATCCTACACCCACTCCTCAGACCGGGGCAGCCCCTGCTCTTCCTCCCTCCCTAGTAACCAACAACAAACCTTATCCCTCACCCTTGAGAGCCAGAGAAGGAATCACCCCAGTTACTGAGGCTCTAAACCAAAGAGGAATAGTGATTACAACCCATTCACCCTATAACACTCCTGTGTGCCAGTTGGAGATTAACTGTGTACCACTGAGATCTTAATGCAAACACAGGGTCCCTCACTACAGCACTCCCAAATATAGCCAAACTAATAGCCACCATACAAGAGCAAACTCACAAAATTATGGTCATTACTGATGTTAAAGACATGCTTTTTATGGTTCTGCAAGATCAAGATTAGAAGCATTTGGCTTCTGTATGGGAAGGTCAGCAATCTTTTACCTGCTTCCACAAGGGTTTAAACATTCACCCACTATAGCACACATCCACTGGTACAAGAACTGTCACTCCTTCCTCCCACACCCGAGAAAAGAGTATATCAGTATATTGATGATATTTTGGTAGCAGGAGATGAAATTGTATCTGTACAGATAACCCAAAAGGACATTACTGAACACCTAGAACCCCTGGACTTACAGATCCGTCCTGAGAAAGTACAACACCCTTCGCAAGAGGTAAAGTTTTTGGGGATCTGAGGGAGTGGAGGCAGTGGTCTGTATTCTCCAGACATTCTCACCTCCCTAGAAGATGCCTGAGAGCAGAGAAGATGTGCAACTGTGGGAGATGGGGACAAAGGAAAATACAGAACATGAAGACAGAATCTGCAAGATTCCTGGGAAGAAAAAGTATTTGTGTGACCAACCCTATGGACTGATGTCGTGGACTGTTAGGCTAGCATTCAGTGTGTATTATATTTTTCCCTATGTTGTACTCCCATGGTTTTAGGAAAATTTCCCTAGTTGATTATTCCCTGGTGTTTCTGTTTTCTCATTGGCTGTTTGATGCCATAGTGCAGATTCTCCTTAAAAGGCCAGTTCTCTCCCATGTTTTCCTATCTTTCCTATCTTTCCTTGTATGGTTTCCATTTGTATATCTCCACCCAGTTCCACTCTTGTTCCAGAAAGTTCTGCTTTCACTCTATATAAGGTGGGAGCCGTGTAAGTAAAGGGCCTTCTCGCCTTTACAACCCCATACCCTGAGGATGCGGAGGTCACGGAATGCAAGGAAGAAAAGTTTATTGAATGGAAAAGGTAGCTGCAGGAAGTTATGGCTGAAACGACAGATGAAGATGTGATTTGAAGATATATAACATGATATGATTCAAACAGAGACTGTTATTATTTAGAATTGTTAATGCATGTTCTTTATCTGCTGTATCCCAGTTTTTATCGAATTTCATCATATTTTTCCCCTCAGAATAATACCCTTTTTTCCTGTTGGTTCAAGTTTGCTGCATTGCAGATGTTTCCCTCATTGATCCCTGCTGATCCCTTGTTCCCTCCTTCCTTCCCCGGTTGGTTGTCACCCCTGTCAGTCCTATGCTCCTCCCTGTTTTCCAGAACCTTCCCACCTTACCCTATAAATAGAGCTAGCCACTTCCAATAAAGGGAGATAGCCCCAAGCTATACCACTCTGCTTGAACCCACGGGTTGTCGAGTCTTTTTTCCACGTTGACTGCGGCATGAGGAAATGTTTTTCTTTCCTTGTCGAACCGTGTCATGCAACAGGCTTTGGGCCTGTTGGTCTTTTGGAGGAAGCACGTTCCCAATTTTTCAATAGTTGCAAGGCCCTTGTGCAATCTGCTGTGGAAGGTAGCAGAGTGGGATTGGACCCCCTTCATGATGAGGCCCTATAACTCCTAATTTTTGAGACTAACACACATCAATCACGAGAACCTACACACCCTTCTGATTCCATGCAAACTGAGTGGGGATTTGCCAGTTCAGAACTATCCATACATTTATGGCAAAAAGGACATAGTAGTTCTACCCAACCCATTGGATTTTACTCTCAAAGCTTTAAGGATGCAGAAAAACGGTATTCCACTTCGGAAATGGGTTGGTTTGTAGTCAATCCTGCCCTCTGGGAAGCAGAAAGAACTGTCCATCAACAATCAACAGTTTTAATAGGACCTTTTAAAGCCATCAAAAAGGTTTTGTGGGGTGGTCCAGCAAGCTCCTATTCAAAAGTAGAATGCCCAAATTAAACAATGTTGTACCATCTTTCAAGTAACAGAAGGAGCTCCCAAAAACCTTCCCTTACAACATGAGGTAGCCCTGAACACCAAAACTGACTATGTTCTATTATTTAGGTTGCTCCCCCATATTCAGAATAATTGCAGATGCCCAGCATCAAGGCAGAGTTGCCATTTCAGGAAACCTTGGCTGCTCTTTCCACACCTCAGGGTCAGGGGTGGGTTGGAGCTGGACACCCAGCGTGAGGTC